GAAGATCAATAGTGTTTTTTATTTTTTAAATTATTTGTTTTTTCCCCTGAATTTTATTGTATTTCATTTTCTTTCTGTTTTATGTTTTAATTTAGAATAATGCAATGACCATTTTGCCATTTTTAAGTTTTGAATTTATTGGTCAAATTTCTTGACTAAAGTATATGGATAAATGTTGCAAATTTCTCAAAGGTAGGGAACATAGTTGTCCAAAAAAAGAGACTCGGGCAGATTTGCAAATAAAATAAAGGTTGAGGACGTTGGTTATTTATTTACCCTAAAAAATTACTTCAAAAAGTTTCACAACAGTATTAATTAATTGAGAGGAAATCCCAACATACATAGAGGCTAATTTTGCAAGTTTTTCTATCTCAAAAAATTATTTGTTATGCATACAAGAAATGTTAAGTAGAGCAGTAATGTTATATTGATATAATATTCACTATGAAGAAAGTAATGCAACTTTTACAATTAGCTTAAGATTAACAAAGAGATTTTTCAAGCCATCAACCTGTATAAGCATAATTAAGATGCAAGTTTCCTTCTAAATGACAAAAAGTACATACTTTGCCCTAGTAAGAAGAGCAAAATGAAAAGAGCTTTTGCCAAATTCTGAAGCAACAAAAATGAGAACTGTACGGTCTGAAACCAAAAATCACAATGCACAACCAAATGAAAAGCATAAATAGAAACATCACCACTAATGTCTTGAGGTTGATCACCGAATAAACCAGCAGCTGCCCAACACTTTGTGAAGTTCTTCTTCACCCTCTTCATAAGTTCCACAATATAATCGCCTTTGTTATTATACTTGTAACAGTTTTCCCATATATATTGCACATCTTTGAAGACATCCTCCGCAGTCATGTACTTATCACCTTTTTCTAGGTTACTGCATATTGTACCAAAATCCATTGGTGTATCTATGACCTCAAAATAATCCTGATCCAGTCCACAAAAAATTTAATCAAACATCAGACCATTTCTTTATAATACAAGTACGATATGGTCTGCGGTCAACAGCTAAAATATCTTCTAAAATCTAGGATATAACACCTATCATCCAAGCATAGACTATTTCAAAATGTTAAAACATAGATCGTAACATTCTGAAGCATGGGAATATCAATAATAGAAGTATTGTATCCCTTCAGTTAAGAGCAGAAACCATATCAAGTGTCATATTTGAGGAATAAAACTTAATTCTAACAACAATTTCTTGTGACTCCTCAATGATAGAGGGGTATCTATTTCATCATCTCCATTAAATAAATCTAGTAACTATCGAAAAACCTTCATAGAGAAGGAATACTTAAGAAAATGAGTCATATGTCATGCTTAGACAGCAAAACAAGAAAGAATGTATAAACTTGTGCTTACTGGTATTCCAAGAGCCACAGGATTAACCGGAACATTGAAGGGATCGGCTGCTTCCATTTTCATAACCTTTCTTATTACCTAAGAGAATAAGGAACAACATATAACGATAAGATTTTGGAGTTTGAGTATCTTTTCCTGAAATGTTGAAAAAAAAAAAAACTAGTACCAATATTACCTCTAATGCAACTTTCAGTTCTTGCTCTTTGGATTTAGAATCCTGATGAAGTAACTCAGAGTCTTTATTTTCTGCCTTATCTCCCTTGACCAATTCAACATTACTACATGGGCTCATACTTGAAGAACCAAGTCCCTTTGATGATTTTATCTTTATACCGACGGATTTTCTAGATGGATTCATAGATACACCTCCGTTAGTTTCAGGTAAAGAGTTGGCACTGTCTTCCATCTTTTCACTAAAAACACTTCGTTTTTCTGAACCCACTAGTTGGCTACTCATGTCAGTATCACTATGTGTAGGTGCATCTGAAGAAGTATGCTGAGAATCTAGAGTTTTAGAAGTCTTGATCTTAACTTTTACCCGTGTGTAAACTGCTTTTCCAAATGTATCATGATTTGGTCGTCCTACAGGAGCAGCTTTAGCAAGTTTATCTAGTTGATCAATTCCCGATGGAGATGGCATCGTCTCGGCATCCAATCCGGAGTCAACATCATCATTATCAAACTCATCAGGATTGTCTTCCGTATTTAAACTAACAACATTTGAAGATATCTCATTTGTGCTGACCAATTTTGATTTTTTTCCTTTTCCTTTCTTATTTCCACGACCACGCTTCATTTGTTCCAAAAAATAAATCAATTGATAGAATATCTTTTGTGTGTAAAGCCCAAATCGGCAGCCAAGCACAACTACTAATTTAATATCAAGCACACTGCTCCACAGACTGGCAGCTAAATCTCAGTCTACACAACATCATAAGCAAGAAACCATTATAATATATAACCAAGGACATATCAACGTGCTGCTATGCAGAGCTTAATAAAGCAGTCATTATGTTAACATGCAACTTTCAAGGAGTACATCATAAGCTTTGAATAATTTAATCTGAAAGCATTACTGCCTTCCTTAGAGTACGTTCAGGTGGCCATACTTGGACCTACCCAAGCATGCTCTTAGTCACATATAAAAGAAATGCCTAACAAGAAGGAGAAACGAAAGATGGCCCAAACATTTTTATTTTGTAATATGTTCACTGAACCACATATCATAATATACACATTTGCTTCTTGCACAAACAAATATTAACTATTTTATCTTACAGCAAGAAATGTAAAAACAATTCTCACGTACAATCAACTAGTTCAGAGCATCTAAAAAAAACTCTATAAACATGAGATTATCTCTATTTTAAAGAGTCAACATTTAAATTATGCTCTGATGGACTCTTTAAATTAACATTTTAATTTAGAGAGTTGGAGAGTCAAACTCACTCTCTATTAATAAATGTATTTAAAGTGTTTTAATTTTCAATATTAGAAAATAGTAAAATAATCTTAAAAAAAGCTAGTTAAAATAAAATATAGAGAAAAAATAAATATTTTTTGGGAGTAGTAAATTAAGTATTAAAAATAAAGATCTTGTTGATGTACTTCAAATTTTTAACTCACTAAATTTATAGATACTCTCCAAATGATAGGATATACTCTTTAAAAATAGAGAATCTCTTGAAAATGTTCATACACTTGTAACTTATTTGTTCAAACTAGAATTTTAAATCTCCACACCTTAAGTTCACCATTTCTTACATTAAAAGTTTCTATGAAAATTAATACGGATGTCCCAAATTTCACGACTTTTCTTTTCTTTACTTTTCCCCCTAGTTTCTTTCCTTTTGTCTTTTGCATACTATCGAACAAATTCCAAGGGATCACAATTCATAAGACTAAGCCCCTCGTTTGGCCTCCATTAAATTACATTTCATTTTTCTCATTTCTATTTTCAATCACGCAATCTTCCATAAAATAATATTAAACATAAAACGAAAAATTTTCCTTCTTTTTTAACCACTCATTTTTTCCCAAAAACACTATTCTACCCCATTTTTTAGAAATTTCTAAAAAATGGAAACGGGGGTTAAGTTTACAATTTTACTAACCCGTGATTCAAATGTCTCCAAATAAAATTTTCCAACTGAATATTTTAGATCCCAACACATGATGATAAATCAAGACAAGAATCCGAGAAAGAAAAATTATAAACACAGTCCTCACTTTAATAACCCGAGAAATAAAATGAAAGCTAAAACCCACCAATCAAAAGAATCTGAGAAAAGGAAAATATTTACATAACCCCCAAATTAATAATCCAACAAATCACATGAAACCCAAAAGAATGAACCCCAAAACCCACGAATCAAAATAAATAAATAAATAAGATATATTTACATAATTCCCAACATACTAATCCAAGAAATTACATGGATTCCAAAATAATGAACCCTAAAACCCACCAATCAAAAACGCTAACATTACTTTCATCGCAATTTAATAATGCGCCAAACGATCATCTTATACGCAGATTCATTCCGTTGCGTTATAAATTTACATAAACAGCAAAAAATTAAAGAAAAAAGCGTTGGAAAGGCTAGTTGTTGAAGTTTTATTCGAATTTCACGAATGAAAAGAGCGAGGGAAAATAGAGAAAGATCAAACATAAAAGATATTTACATACCTAATGTGTATATATGTGTTGCCGTTCGATTTTCAAATCCCTGAGTTAAAAAGAAAAAAGAAATCGATAGAATTTCAATTGCATATTTGCCCGTTTTGTAGAAATTTTATTATTATATAAATTTTCACGGCAGCTCTTATTTATGCCATTCATTATAAATAGATAAATTACACCATTGGTCCTCAATCTATTACCCAATTAGAAAGCTAGTCCACTTCTAGAAGAAGAATTGATCCTCAATTTTCTATTAAAACTGCATATTAGTCCACAATGCAAGCCGTTCGAATCTATGTTAAATTATCTATAACCTTTTCTGAAAATGTCCCTTTTGAAATTTTTAAACAATCCAAGTTGGCAAGCAAACTTAGCTTCATAAATTTGAAAACATAAAAATCACATGACATTTTGATGGATATGTTGATGGTTTGTGTCATTGGGGATCAACTTACTATTAAGATGATAAATTTGTTATCAACATGCAATTTTTTTCTTTTTAGATATAACTCATGAGCAAAGGAAGTTTTTCGAGCATATTGAGGGGTTAGCCCATTCTATTCTAATATTTAATTCTTACAAAGCTTAATTGATTCAAGTTTCAATGTAAAATTCATAGAATTGATAATTCTCCATTCAAAATAATAAAGGGTCGATTGATTGCAAAGATGAAATTGAATTGAATTGAAAACGAATTTCAGAGAATTGAATTACCTAGAAATTGTTTTCTTGAGAATTGTAAATTATTATGTTTGATTGGTATAATTTTTCACATGAAAAATGTTGAAATAAAAGTATTTTTTGATATTCATTTGACTTTGTTTTACATGAAAATTATCAATTAAAGAGATAAAATTTATTAGTATTGGGTATGAAATTTGTTTCCACTGCCAACAAAAAAAATTCAAGAAAATCATCTATCTTTTAGTGTTCGTTTGGTTTTGTTTTACATGGAAATTATCAGTAAAAGGTAAATATTTTTTTATAATAATTCTTAAAATTTATTTCCATTACCAAAAAAAAAATAGAAAAACAATTAAAAAATCGCTACAGTAACCGGGAATTCCAATTCTCATCATTTTGATGAGAATTCCAATTCCATAATTTCATGAAAAATACTGACGTGGCAAGAAAGTGGGAATTTCAATTCCATGAAAAATTTTGGACAATCAAACAATCAAAAATTGAAAAATGGAATCCATGAAAAAAGTGGAATAATCAAACACTACCTAACTTCAATATTGTCTCGTTATGAATTTGGATTTAACATTTCCTTCCAATTATGTCTATTTCAATGAATCTAACACATTCTCATGGATATTCATGAATCATAAAATTGTGTATTAATTCAAATCAAATGTTTTTAAATTTAATCGTGACATTGGAACGAATTAAGCATGAAAAGTTCGTATACCAATTTCGAGCTAAATCAATGGGTCATTTTTAAATACAGAAGGCTATACCACATGATATTATTTACTCGCTCTTTGATTCTCATTCTTTCAAAAAGTTATTTTTTCAAAACTTATTTTTAACTACATATTTTTCAATAAAAAAATATTATATGCAAATTCAAAATTTTTCTTTAATTTTTAACCACACATTTTTCATCAATCTACTATTCAAAATGTACTATTTCTTCCAAAATGGGGACCAAACAATGGCTAAGCATACAAATCAATAAAAGTCAAATATTTGGTATATGCACTAGAAAAGAAGAAATTTGCTTCTTGTTAATTTAATATTTTCTTTTATTTACCAGTAATTTTTTTTTATATAATTTAAAATGATGGTATGTTTCTAATAAGCCATGGCATTTTTATTGTCCAAATGGATAAAAAATTGTCCATTGCACACTGTTGGAGACAAGTGTGACAAAAGTAATAGTCAAGGCCCTTTGTTTGCAAAGCTGAAGCGGTTATATGAAAAAAATAAAAACACTCTTTTCTCGAAGGAGTCCTTAGAAACTCTGTTATAATATGTACTACAAATGGTCCTTCAATCATGGATGCTCAAACGGGGATGTAAGCCAATTTTTTAGGCTTGAACCTCGATGAAAGTAGTTGGTTTTCATCTCTTTTGTGATTTTCAAAGTGTTGTTGGTGGTTTGGGCTCTGTGATGTCGAATCAACTTATTTTTCAATGGTCCGAGGTATTGGAGGATGTAGGAGGACTAGTCTGGACATTCGGTCCCAGACCATATGTAAACATACGAGTCTGATTTTAAAAAAAATTAGTTCGATCTTGGATCACTCCTACTCGAGAATGAATATGTCTTGGTCTAAATCTCCTTCAAGGCATTAGTATATGAGGTGTATCTAATAGGTAGTGTGTAATTAGATGAAAGCAAAATGAAGAAAATGGATGAACTTGCATGAAGTTCTATTTTCATTCATTTGTTTGACTTGGAAGAGAATGTAGAAAAGTTTAATAAATTTTCCCAAGATCTTGAGAACTTTGAAGAGAAACTCTCCGATTATAGGGGCAGTAGTCCTGCTAAACTCCATTGGTGATAAATTCAAAGATGTAAAAAATGCTATAGGATATGGAAAAGAAAAACTATCTTAATTAGCTCTACGAGGATTAAAGAGCTGAGCTATAAAATAAGATGTTAGTGGTGAAATTTTTTTAGGTAAAAGTAATCAAAACTCCCAAGTAAACTTGTTGACCTCCATAATAGTTAGGATCATGCAGTAAACTGGTCTCTAATCATATACTTACTGGCCTATATGTTATTTGCATACTAGAATACAAACCGTTAGTATCAAGATTACCGAGCCAAGGGAAAAGAGGTGTTGAGATTGTTGGAACTTCCATGATCAAGTCAACTATCGATACAAGTTGTATAAAGGGAGTTTGGATGTGAGAGAGATAAGTAGGGCTGGGCAAAAACTTCAAAAAACTGATCAAACCCAATCGATTGATTTAGGTCGATTTGAACAAAAAAAATCGATTTGATTCTTTAATTTTGACCACTAAAAAGTCAAGTAGGGTTGGGTTGGTTGTAGTTTAAGTAACCAACCAGTCAATTAATCAACCCAACTCACTGATATATTTTTATTTTTCCCATTCTAAAATTCAAATTTTTTAAACCATAAAACTAAAATAATAAAAATACAACATAATTCTTTCTCAAATAATTTGTTTATCGTCTATATCTCTTCTACCAAAACTTCAAATTTCAAAAGTAAAAAATGTGAGGAGAATTGTTTGTTGTAAACTCCAAATTTAGATTGTGGCATTGCTTTCATTTGGTGAAATTTTTTGTTGTAATCTATTGAATATATAGGATAATTTTGGAAAAATCAACCCTTAACCATTTACATTATATATATTATTAATCGCAATATGGAGGCAAGCTTTTGTAACTCGGTCCAATATTCAAACCGACTAAACAAATCGATCTGAACCGAATTGGTTTGGTTCAATTCAGTTTCAATTTTGAATTGGGTCTATTTGAGTTGAAATTCATCCAAACCGATCGAGTCAGTTTCGATTTTGCATTGCGCCCAAAATCACCCGACCCGAATCATGCCCAAGTCTTAAAAAAAAAAAAATAAATAAATAAATTTAGCTAAACTTTCAATATAAAAGCATACGTTTTCTTTTACAATTATATTTGTATCTATATTTGTAAGAAAAAGACTCTTAAAGAGCAAGTCACGGAGTGTGCATCCCTAATCCATGTGTCACGCTCTCATTATTTCACCACACCCGCCTCAGAGTTACGATATGTTTCCTCCGAGTTTGTTTCTTTGTAGAGATTGATCATAGAAGATTCTCTTTGATCTCAAAAGATCATGCGTAGATTTCTGTGAACCTGATAAAGCAATTTCCTCGTTGAGAGCTTCCTTCCGTACAAGTACGGGTGAAATCGCAAAGACTGCTTCATCCAAGGCCATCAGTCGTCACTAGCTTAGCCGAAGGACGATGGTACACAAAGACCAAAAGGATAATATCATAGATGAGGACAGTGCTAATAATGTCACGATCTTCACTTGTCATGTTGGCAAACACGTAAAGCGCTACATGCTTTGCAACTAAGGGCTCACGTGGCTTTCGTTGCCGTGCCGACTCTTACATAGAGCCCTTGTTAGGTCAAGGTTGTAACGATAGTCTCCAAGTACAATTCTAATATTCATGTTGGGTGAAGGACTTTGCTATGTGGATAAATTTTGATCTACGCACTGTCATGTGGCATTCATCTTGTACTTGATCCGGGATGAAGTCTATGGGGTTCCCTATCTTTGCACGTTAGGGTCCCATTTTTTGTGAATGTGTTATATGAAGCTTTTTATCTGAAGTATAACAATAATCTCCCAAGTTCAAGTCTAATTAAAATTGGACAAAGGACTTTAAGATAAGATTGGACAAAGTACTGTGAGATAAGGACTCATGTCAGGTAAAATAATCTGTCATACAAGTGGAATGTTCCCTGTGTGAAAGGAAATCGTGTTGTAGGGAGAAGGCGGAAATGTCTAAGATGTGTATGGTCGCTTGCCTCGATTAGAACACAAATCATGATTTTCAGTCGTTTGGAATTATTAGACACAATTATCATGACATCGCCATCTCTGAGCAATCCATGGAGCAGGGCCTTCTACTACTCTACCATGTCTTTCGCTCCATTCTAAGTTACTTCAATCTAACCAGGGCGGAGCCAAGGGGAAAAAAAGGTTTTATACTAGGTTGATGCATGAAAAAAAAAAACATTAGGCCCCCGTCTGGGCGCGATTGTGAAATTGGAGAATCAATTATCCTGTCTTATCAGCTGGCCCACCTGAAGACATTTTGGTTCCCAAGCAAGAGGTCCATTTACTAAATTACAAGTTTGCCCACATTACTCCCACTGTGCACTGACACATTGAAAACAACTTTTGACTGGCAATAATGCACAAATTGGTGAGATAATGCATACATGAGGGTCCCATTAACACGTGAATTTTTTTTGTCCACCAATTTTTT